GACATCGTAAACCCACTTCGAACAAGCGGATCATGCGTCATTTTCAAAGCTCTCCAGAACCGTCACGAGCAACTTGGGCTTCATGCTCAAGTCCTCACCCTCAGAAAGGCACTCGATGTACGCTTCGACTCGACCAAGTCCCTGGATGACACCATCACAGAGCTTCGCAAGTTATATAATAGAATAATCAGCATGGGGCCGATGAATCCCGATAATCTGTTCACAGTCCTCTTGATGAATGCTCTCGGAGATCAGTTTCCTCAACTCCAATCCTCCATCCAATCCATGGCCAGAATGCCGAACTTCACATCCGTGGTGGTCGTCCAACGAATTCATGAGGAGAACATGCTCCTCCAGACCAGGACGCAACAAGGACAATCGGCAGCGCTCACTGCGATTGCCAGGGACAAAGGAGGACGAGCAGCATGTTCTAACTGCGATCGCATGGGTCATTCCCTGGACTTCTGTGTTCAACCAGGTGGCAAAATGGCTGGAAAGTCACTTGAAGATGCTCGCACCGCTCAAGCAGCGTTTAGGGCTGCCAAGAAGGCAACTCATGACGCTAAAAGGGGACAAACAGCTAATGTCGCGATGACTGTCAATGCCGGGACTGCTACCACCACAGAGACTGTTGCCACCACCCCTGCAAAGCCAGTAGTGACACCTTCCCCTTCTACCCAGTCCTCTATAACGGTCAACAGCATCACCTACTACATGGGCACCGGACAGAGTCCTTCCACTCAGACAGCCATGATTACCACTATGAGCAGCATACCCGATCCATCCTTGGGGTACTACGATCACTCAGGTGGTTACCACGCATTCCTCTCCATGAGTGATGCCCCACGCGCCTCAGTCGATTGGAATAAACATTCGTCCCCCATTGACCCTTCACAGACTGTTGTGCATCCTGTCGCATACACCACGTCCCACCCCGTCGCCGCCCATCTCGAGGACTTCCAATTCATTCTTGACACAGGGGCCACTTGTCACATATCACCAGAGCACTCAGACTTTAAGACACTCATGCCCACTGACCAGCATCCAATTAAAGGTGTTGGAGGTGCAGTTGTCCATGCAATCGGCATTGGGACTGTCGAACTACACATTGCGGCTGGACATACATTAATTCTGCACAACGTCCTCTTTGTGCCCGCCTTCACAGTCAGACTGATCTCAGTCCTGGCTCTTAACGAAAGTGGTCCATATAGGACTATCTTCGATCCTGTAGAGTGTTGTATCCTGAATAAGTCCAACACCATTATTGCCCGTGGTGTCATATCCAAATCTCGCAGACTCTACCTCCTTTCTGCCCCAGCACTGCGCGTCACTCACGCCAAACCCAAAAATACTGCCTTCTACTCTACCTCATGCATTCCCAACGTTGAATCCTGGCACAGACGCCTGGGCCACTGCAATACCCACACTATCATCGACATGGCCCGTTCTCACTCTGTTGAAGGTATGCCCATCGACCTCTCTGCCGCACCCCCGAAATGTGACAATTGTATTCTCGGGAAGCAGACTCGGACTCCAGTTCCGAAGGTGCGCGAGGGGTTGAGGGCTACACAACGCTTGGAGAGGGTACATGTTGACTTATGCAGACCCATGTCTATCTTGTCGCGCTCTGGGCGCCTTTATTCAATGAATATAGTCGATGACTATTCGGGTTACATTTGGAGCTTGCCGTTACGGTCGAAGGACGAGGCCATGCCAGTGCTGCAGGCCTGGCACCACGCTGTTGAGAATCAGAGCGGAGAACGTCTCAAGATCCTCGTCACCGATAATGGTGAATTAGTCTCTCGCCCTATGTCAGAATGGTGTTCCACCCATGGCATCGAGCATCACACGACTGCTCCTTACACCTATGCCCATAATGGGCATGCCGAACGCGTTTATAGAACCATTATGGGTAAAGCTCGTACGATGTGCTTCGCATGCAAGGCACCACCATTCATGTGGGATGAATTCTGTGCCACTGCGGCATATCTTACCACGCTCACTGCCTCGACCACTATTGGAGGGAAGACTCCCTTTGAACTTTGGTTTGATCGCGTCCCCTCGCTCTCTCATCTTCGTGAGATTGGATGCCAGGCATTCGCATTAATCCCTACCCAGAACTCCAAGATCAGCCAACGCTCAGCCCCCTGTGTACTCATTGGATACGCACCGCACTCCAAAGCATATCGCCTCTGAGATCGTGCATCAGGGAAAATTTTCAATTCTTTCCATGTCTCCTTCATTGAACACCTTGATGCCCTACCAGCAGACCTCCTTCCTGGTACTGTTCTTGGTACAGATGCAAAAGACAGCCCACCTTCTTGGGACGTACCAACCTCAACCCCCCATCCCACAGGCGCATCTGCCCTACTCCCTCATCCTGACCTCCCCTCTCTCCCACCACCCCCTCCACTCTGCCGATCGGAACGTGCACACATACAAACCTCCCGCACTGACACTCGTGATGGCCTCGCCTATGATGCCCGTCTCACGGCTGCCATAAATGATGCCGCAGCTTCCACTGCCCATCGTCAGGAGGAGCATGCCACCCATCGAGCCGAGCACCCACAAGACCACCACATACATGCATTCCTATCAGAGTTCTCACCAGTACGAGACACGCATGAACTAATACCATTAGATCTCTACACAGAGAATCCTCTCACCACCATAGATGAAGTCCTCTCTGCCATTACTAACGGCACTGTAGACCTAGAGACCAATATTGGGGATGACCCCACATGGTCAGAAGCACTTGCATCCCCCGAACGTGAATATTGGATTGCCGGTGGACATGAGGAACTCAAGAGTCTTGAAGACTTAAAGGTCTTTGTGCTGGTTCCACGCACTGAAGTTCCACGCGGACAATGACCACTGAAGGGTAAACTTGTGTGTAAACGCAAACGCGATGACTCTGGCAAGGTAGTACGCTACAAGGTCCGATACATTGCGAAGGGCTACGCACAGCAGTACGGTATTGATTATGACAAAACCACCGCACCAACTGCACGCCTTGAGTCTTTCCAGGCCATCCTACATATCGCAGCCTCACTCGGATGGGAGTTACAGCAGTTTGACATCAAAACAGCTTTCCTCCATGGAATTCTCCCTGAGGAGGAAACCATGTACATGGAACAGCCACTGGGATTTGAAGTACCCGGTAAAGAACAATGGGTAATGAGGCTCATGAAAGCATCTACGGCATGAAGCAAGCGAGCCGCATCTGGAACCAGACATTCCACAAAGCGGTCCAGAACTGGGGATTTGAGCGACTTGCATGCAAATGGTGCGTGTACCGATGTGAAACACCCACAGGGACCATCATTTTCGCTGTACATGTTGACGACATCATTTGTTCCGCTTCATCCCCCGAAGAGATCAATCACTTCAAGGCCAAGCTACGCTCACACTGGGAAATATCTGATCTAGGCCCTGCGAAGTTCACCCTAGGAATCGCAATCATGCGAGACCTGGAGAAACGAACTATCACGATCTCCCAGACTGCCCTGATCGATCGCGTGGTGGAGCAATTTGGTCAGAGCGATGCTCATCCACTCGAGACACCCATGGTCGCGGGACTGCAATTATGACGTCCAGACAGGTCTGTCCCCACCGCTCCAGAAGTAAAAGAATGGGCCGAACGCACACCCTACCGTTCGCTCATCGGGAGCCTCATGTATATCGCAGTGGGGACACGACCAGACATCGCATATGCAGTGGGATGACTCGCATCCTTTTTAGACTGCTACAGACCCGAACACTGGGAAGCGGGCATTCGCGTGCTCAGATACCTGAAGGGTACTAGGCTACTCAACTTAGTACTCGAAGGGACCAATACAATGCGATTAGTAGGGTACTCCGATTCCGATTATGCGAACTGCCCGGATACTAGTCGATCCATTGGGGGCTACTGCTATAATCTCAGATCTGGTTCTATATCCTGGTCCTCGCGCAAGCAACGCACGGTTGCTGACTCCTCGTGCTATGCCGAATATATAGCACTCCACGAGGCTTCCCATGAGATGGTTTTCCTCAGGGAATTGCTCTCTGGCCTGCAGTTACTGCCCTCAGGAGCGACCCAGTTATACTGCGACAATGACACCGCATCCAGACTCAGTGAGGATCATGTCTGGCATTCACGGGTCAAGCACATAAGGGTCAAATATTACTATGTGAGGGAGCAGGTGCTTAGTGGAGAGGTTAAGATACAACGTGTTCGCTCAAGCGATAATGTGGCTGATATACTTACAAAACCGTTGAGTAGAAACGACTTTCAACGACTTCGTTTTTATCTTGGATTACGTTTACTAGAGACATGATTATTTGCTCATCATTCTTTTCTTTTTATTCCTAGATAATCATTTATTACACTACACACACGCGCATCCTTACTTACGTTCGCATCGAGGAGGAGTGTTGGAATGTGGACCGATTACGTTACGTAGATAAGGGCACGTGACACATAGATTTTGTGTCCATGCGCGCGCACGTTCTCTTTTCCCTCAGTGACTCAAGGTGTCCATGTAACAACATTATAATGTAAGATGGGCGTCCCCATGCAAAGCATGGCAATGTTATCGGGAGTGGCCAGCCCCACACCACGTGTAAACATTATGATGTCAGAATATGTCACACTTGTGACATTGTGGGGAATTGTGATGTAGCAATAAAGGCACAGCACCTAATGTCATTGTAATGTTTATAGCAATATATTGGCATGGGGAATTGTGATACACATCATTAAGGCACAGAAATTATAATGTTTCAAAATGAATTATGATAAATGACATTATAATGTTTGTGGGGAATTGTAATATTATTATAAGGCATAACTAAATAATATAATGTTGTGGCAAATTGTGATGCCATCATTAAGGCACACTAACCAACATTATGATGTTTACAGAAATGCCTAACACATTGCTAAGGTACAGGAACTGACTGTTATTATGAAATCATTATGTAACTAAGTAGCATTACAATGTTTAAATAGGAAATAGTGACCAGACCAGGATTTGAACCAAGGTCCTCTAGATATATACATATTTATTGTTAGGCACTTTACCACTACACTAGCTGGGCTTAACTAACTAAAGTGGTTTGTTTACTATGATATGATCTGATAATGACTTAGTACTTTTTATTTGCGCAAAAAAAAGTACTAAGTCGTTATCAGATCATATTATAGTAAACAAACCACTTTAGTTAGTTAAGCCCAGCTAAGGCAGGCGTCACGAGGAACCAGCACCCCTTAGGTAAGCAAAATGTGGGGTTACCTCGCTCCTCAAACTCGTCCTCCACAACTCAAACATATAGACTTTTAATCAATAGGATTTGTAGGGTTAGTCTGTAGCTACAAGTACTATTGATTAAATTTTAAACATATTGAGAAATGAGTGAGCAGAAGCAAAAAAACATATTTATTTTCTAAACACAATATTATTTGTTTTCCGTTTGTTTGGCAAAAGTTTTGATTTTCCATCATGCAGATTTGTCCACATCACGTGATACCACGTGATCTTCCATGCGGTAGAGGTGAGGAGGAGGTGAGGAGGAGGGGATGTCGCACGCAAGCCACAGAACATCAGAAATGCCTAGAAAAAAACAGGCAGCAAAGGCACGTTATAAAAACCTTGAAATCGCTCGTGGGGCATTGGGAAAAGGTGTGCAATGCGCTCAAAGCACACATGAGGAAGGAGGTGCAGATTATCATATCTCCTGGTGATGATCTACATCTAACACAATCCTATAGATGTGCCACCTGAAACCCCTGCACCACCATCGCCAGATCTACTGCTGTGCGCCCCAGATCTTGACCCAGAATTCGAAGATTTCTGCAATAGATTTGATCTCAGTCCATGTGTGGAGGAGCTCAGTGAAGATGTAACGAACCCTGGGGTCGATCAAGATGTCGAAGATGATCTGTCTGATGGACCAGAGATCGTCACACAGACAGAACTCAACCGCTTCAGCGCTGCACTCCAGGAAGCACAACAAGCGGCAATTGAAGCTGAGCGGGAAAGAGAGTGCATGCGGAAGCGAAAGACCCCGAAGACATACACAGGAAACTCAAAGAAGACACTTTATCGGCACAGAATGGCAAAGCAAAAGCTGGAATCAAAGGGGTTTTATGGAATAGCCGAATATCTTGAACTGAAGAAGACGAACGCGGCTGTGGATCTGTCTGGGGATCTGCACGCACCAGTAGATCAGGGTGTACAAACATCTCTGAGTGAGATGGCAGATCAGACCAATCGGAACACAACTGCGGATCAGCAAGCAATTCGGGACACGAGGACGGATAAGCAAGCAGATCCGAACATGACTGCGGATCAGCAAGCAACTCCGGGTACAACAGCGGATCACCAGGCAGATCCGGACGCAATTGTAGACCAGCAGCCAGATCCAGGCAATCCAGACAATCCAGACAAAAATATGCATGTGCACACGAGAGATGCGATGAGACAAGAGGAGGAGAGTGAGGGGAGCGAGGATTCTAGGGCACAGCCAGACGTGATAGATCTGGAAGACGAGGACAGTGATAACAGCGAGGACAGACTTGGATCAAAGCCCTCCTTGAGATCCCTGCTTGAGGACCTCCGAAAGCAGCGAGATCTCCTCGATCAAAGCCCACCAAGTTCAGAGGATAATGCTCTAGACCTCATACGCAGCATAGATCGGCTGCAGGAGGCACGCACATCGCTCGATCTTAGATCAAAGGATCGTTCCCTCGATCTCTTTCTTCGGGCTTGCATTCTGGCCATGATAGGGGTGTTAAATTTATTTCTTGATTCAGATCTTGGGCATACTTGGCGTCAAGTGTCCCTGTTGGTGTCAAAGACTCAAGGCCATGGAGTGATGCATGCACGCAATATCCGACGATGGATCTTATCGTTCTTGTGTGATGGACAACTCCCGCATCACAGGTTATATCAAATGTGATGGTCTGTCCTTAATGATGAAGACATCGCTCAAGAAATACAACTGCAACTTACCCAAAGATCTACTCAACAGTTCATCAAGGCATCAGATGTCATGGAGATCGTTGCAAGCCCTGAGATGCAAGACAGATTTGCTCAGATCGGAGTTGTCAAGCTGTCGATCTCAGAGAGAACAGCACAGCGATGGCTGTGGAAGATGCAATGGAGATATCGTGCACTCTAGCGCGGCATGTATGCAGATGGGCATGAGCATGAGCATGTGGTCGCATATCGCAAGGCATTTGTTGATTGATGGATGGGATATAAAAAGCGATTCCATATATGGGACGATGATGGAAATCCGATGCCCCCTCCCAAGGGATTTCCTGTTCCAGGCTATCGATTCCGCCTCATTCTTATCACACATGATGAATCGATGTTCTATTAAAACGATGAACGCAAGACGCGTTGGGCTCACAAAGCTCACAAAGCCCCACTGCAGCCTAAGGGAGAAGGCCAGACGATCATGGTGTCAGATTTCCTGACAGTGGAATGGGGCTGTTTGCACGATGGGGAGGAGTAAGTCTTTGATCTAATCATCAGTAATAGATCAATAAATTTATTGAATCATTTCAGGGAAGCTCGGGTCCTCTTCAAAGCTGGCAGAAATCGCGATGGATGGTTTGATAGTGATGTGCTGCTTGATCAGGTTGATCGCGCGATCGATATCTTTGAGGGCAAGACAAATGGCAATGTACAGGGGCTATTCCTCTTTGATAACGCTCCCAGCCATCAAAAGCAAGCCGCGGATGCGATCTCTGCTCGCAAGATGGTGAAGCGTGCGTCAATCACTTCGCTTCATCGGTATATACATTGATCTTATGGCTAATCTTTCAGATCCAAGGGAAAATTGGGTGCACAACAAAGGGGACCTCGCATGCGCGCTGGGGTCAATCCATTGACCAATGAGCCACAACCATTTTATTTCCCTGATGATCATCCAACCATGCCAGGGTGGTTCAAAGGAATGGAAGAGATTATCCGTGAGCGCGGACTCTGGCCAGAAGATGGGCTACCCGCTGAGTGCCCTGGGTTCAAATGCCCAGTCCCAGAGGCCCCAGACAGAGAAGCATCGTGTTGCTGTCGACGCGTGCTATTCAATCAAGATGACTTCATCTCACAGAAGCCCCAGTTGCAGGAGCTTATCGAGTTGCGCAAACACTTGTGCGACTTCTATCCAAAATACCGCTGTGAATTGAACTTTATTGAACAGTATTGGGGTGCGGCAAAGCTCCGCTTCTGTGTTGCAGGACGTGCAAAGACACTTGATCAGATGGAAAAGGTGATGATCAAGTGCCTTGATGATGTGCCACTGAACCAAATCTGGAGGTATGTTCTTCTTATCTTCCCATAATAACATCTCCTCAAATCAAATTTAAGATATGCCAATCGTTCTGCCAGATTCATCCACGCCTATCGCGAGGGATTGACCGGGGCTCAAGCAGCATGGGCAAATAAGAAGTATCACAGTTATTGCACGCTCCCTCCAGAAATGATCGAAAAATCTAAGCAATCTGTAGCTCCTTAATATATTTTACTTGAATGTCCCTAGGCATAAATCCAGGTGCATGGCATGATTTGTGGCCCCTCTTCATATTGCATGTGCATGCGCATGTACGCACTCGCTTAGATAACTTTAAGCACCCGTGCCTAATTACCTGCCATAAAGGGCAATCCTGTGGCTGAACAGGCACAACTTGCGCTGAATGGGCACAACCTCGCACCCAAGCTCAAACAGACTATTTTCTGGGTTATTTAAGTAGATAGTTCACTATAAACCACTTTTTATTACTCCTACTGATATTTGTACCCATCCCCAAACCGAAAATTCATGTGCGCCTAACTTTTTAACTGGTCCAGCCAAGGATTTGTCCAGTCACGTGACCTAAACCCTAGGGTTAGCCAGCTTATCTAAGGGTGCTGGTTCCTAATGACGCCTGCCGTAGTGTAGTGGTAAAGTGCCTAATAATAAATATGTATATATCTAGAGGACCTTGGTTCAAATCCTGGTCTGGTCACTATTTCCTATTTAAACATTGTAATGCTACTTAGTTACATAATGATTTCATAATAACAGTCAGTTTCTGTACCTTAGCAATGTGTTAGACATTCCTGTAAACATTATAATGTCATTCAGTGTTCCTGTGCCTTAATAACATCACAATTCCCTATAAATATTATAATGTTATTTTAATCACTATTCCCCATAAGCATTATAATGTTATTTGGTTCCTTTGTCTTAATAATGTAAATCACAATTCCCTGTACCTGGGCATTCTTACAGACATCATAATGTCACATTATAATGTCACCTGGTACCTGTGCCTTAATGTTGGCATCACAATTCTCCATAAACATTATAATGTTATTTGATTTCTGTGCCTTAACAATGTGCATCATAATCTATTTTGAAACATTATAATTTCTGTGCCTTAATGATGTGCATCACAATTCCCCATGCCAATATATTGCTATAAACATTACAATGACATTAGGTGCTGTGCCTTTATTGCTACATCACAATTCCCCACAATGTCACAAGTGTGACATATTCTGACATCATAATGTTTACACGTGGTGTAGGGCTGGCCACTCCCGATAACATTGCCATGCTTTGCATGGGGACGCCCATCTTTCATTATAATTTTGTTACATGGACTGGTGGTGACTCAGTATTCATTGTCGCTGAGGGTGAGTTATCGTTCCTATACTTCTATACTCTAACTAAACTGTACCTAGGCTATTCTGTGCTTTAGGTACACCAATTTAGTGACTCAGTATTCATCGTCGCTGAGGGCTATTCTGTGCTTTAGTGGTTTAGATTCTAACAGATTAGTATATTAGTTGGTGATGTACTTAGTTTACAGTCAGAATCCAGCTGGGAGCCATGTCTCCTTCATTCTCACCATATCTCCTTTGTTTCCCATCCATTTCCCTTCGTTCTGGTCTCATTCCCATCGTCTCCGCCACTGCTCCGTTGCTAGTCATGTCGCCTGCCGCCAGCAAAGCTCCTGAGTGAGCTAAAAGTCCTTTTCCACTATTGCCAGTCCCGTGTGACTGGAACACCCGATTAGGCAATTCCCTTTCCCATGCCTCCAGCCC